GTATCATTTGCAGCTATCCAAAAGTAACTGAAAAAATTATTGTTGAAAAGCATACTTGGTTTAAAGATGGTAACATCCTTCTTTTTTTTTTTAACTTTAACAGGCAGAAAGTAAAACGAAAACAAAATTCAGTGACAGCGTTTTGGACACCGCAATCATTGCCGACTTAATGCATGCCTGCATGTTAAGCTGAATATCTGGTTCTGTGCTGAAAATAGGAGACATCTCCAGCAGAATTCTGTACCTTTTTTTTTAAGCTTCCCTTCAACTGAATGAAGTTCACTGTTCTCTTTGCATAGTTTTCACTGAACTGAAACAACTTTTGTTTTGGTTAATAATCTGTACATTTTAAGAGTTGTTTCTGAAATGAAATTTAAAAACCACACTGGTAAAAATGTAAATACTTACATGTACACTATACCCCGGAGCATTTTTTTTTTGGTAAACTGGTCTCCCCTCCATGCCTTTTTTTCATTGACAGCTGTGCACATGTATGTATGTAGGTCAGAGTCTAATCTGTTCCTTTTTCATGTGGGGCACACCATGAGGTGATGTGGGATCTGTGGCAAGTAAACCACACGCACATGCTTCTGCCTTTGTGTACATGTAAATCCCACACGCTTATTCCTAACCAGGAACAATTCTGTCCCCTGATGACCCAAAGTTCCTGGAAGGCACGACATGGTTGACCAAAAAAGGGGAGGCAACATTGAAGCCAAAAACACACGTGGATCTAATTCAGATACATGTTCACTAAACTTCAAGCACCTGTCATTAGTAAGATGAACCCCATGACACCTCTCCCCCCCCCCCTCCCCCCATGGTGCACCAAGAGTGCGTCATGTTCTTCATGGCTGTGACACAGGATTGCCTCAAAATCAAATCATGGCTTAGTGTGTTAAACAATTTATGGGGTGCATCACTTTTCCTCAGTGGGTGCATCACAAGCAGTGATAGGGGGAGGGGTTTCAAAAATGTTGCCGAATAGCATCAAAACTTTACATTTCGTACGTCACTACACTGACACAGGAATGCATAGATTTCCACAAAAGGATGACCCACTGTTGGACAATGACACACCACTCCCAGGGGTCAAGGGGTGTGTCCTACAATTGAGGTGTATTAAAGCTGAAAAGGTGTGTAATGAGTTTGAGTTGCTCATGCAAATTAGGCTGCAACGGTTGATTGCCTGCTATGAGGGTCATCCTCCGCGAAGCAGGCGTCGTGCGGTGAAGTCGCCTCCCCTGCGAAGCCTTGTGTTTAATAACAACATGCATTTAGGTCAGAGCATATTACACTACAGCATCTAGACATTTCATCTGTCTTCCTGTGCACAGTGCATACATAACATGAGATCGAGAGCACAGAACACCTTGAAAGCTCAATGATGATACTGTACACAGGGCAGATTTGACTTATCAGGGGTTTTACATACAACTGTACTGTATGGTTTGTGTCATGTCAAAAGCCCCAGGCTAGGCATGCATGGATGCACACTGGCTATTGATGGGGGGGGGGGGGCATGGGATAAGCTTTAAACTGCTCCCTTGCTAATGAAGTGATAATGATTACTTTATACAGTACAGTTATAATGCCAGTTACACACTGCAACAGTTATGTGCTAGACAAGTCTGGCGCTGTTCAATTAGGGACCAACTTCTCTGGCTTCAAAACCAGGGGTCCAATTTTTATTAAAGAAGAAAAAAAAAAAAAACACTGGACCGCAATGCCAGGAACTCGTAAAATTTACTGGACCAGAACATATTTTACAAGCCCAACACAATAACAACAAAAGAGAAGTTCTGTGGAAAAAGTTACATGTACCATGTGCATGATCGCAAAATATGCATCGCAGCACATCTGACGAGACTCCAAAGCCTGAAGCACACTCGAACTACGCGTGATTAACACTAGTGTACATGTACTGGGCATACTTTAGTTGTGCCGATGAATGGACAGAAATTTGGATATTCATCTGAGTGAAATCTAAATCTTCAAGTGGGTATTTCAAACCCTGAAAAACAAGCTTGGAACAGGCTGGTCTACCAGTGAAGAAAAAGGGACCTGTAAACCCTGCTTTACTTAAACCCCTTAAACTGAATTACAATCCCAGCTAATCTGAGACATGCACAGAAGGCAGAGACTCCATTCCATGCTGCAGTTAAATACTATAAGAAATAGCTTAGGATGATGCAACATTGTGAAAAACTTGCTTCTTTTCATGAAGAAAAATCACAAGTCAATATTTGGCCATCAGTTTGGCGTTTGTGTCCGGTTTCCTTGGCATAAAACGACCGGGAATATTTCGATTCCGCCTGGATGGGATGCCGGCCCATCGCAGGTTACTGCCCAGCTAATGCCGGCAACAATTTATAGTTTAGAAAGTTATTTCTTTTGATAGAATTAACATTGGTATCTTGCTGTGAGCATTTTCCATCATTCAGAGAAACCTATTTAAAACAGCAGCACCTTTTCGTAAACCTCTCCAATTATATTCCAAAACTCTTCTCCTTGATCTCTCCTGATCTTGACATCAAGCTACAACAAACACAGCTGGGCACACAAAGAATGCAAAGACGGGGGGGCTTGAAAGTTTAATGAAACAAAAGTGCTTGGTCTTCGATCTGCCCGCCTGCTAAGCCGGTTCCATCTTGGTAAACTACCAGCTTCTTTGTTGACAAGAAATCTTCTCTTGGAACTTTCAAGTGGGAGCGCATCAAATACCCGGTTGTTACTCCCTAGGCTGGGCGCTGCATCGCCGCATCGCCCCCCCCCCCCCCAACAACAACGTTTTGTGGTCAGCAACCGGATGGCGAGTATAAATCCATAACAATCGATTGGACATTCTCGGAGCGGCCCACAAGAAAGATCAGGGTCCCTGCCTATTGTCATTCAGTTTACCTTTATCCATAGATAGGATTACACAACTGATCTATACCGGGCAAACCTACCTGCAATAAGGGGTACACCTAATAGGGGGTCCGCGTGCATACATGTCAATGGAAGGGTTTTGGTATGGTAAACAGGCCCAATTCTTAGCCCTTGTAACCTTCCCACACCTGGCCAACCCCCATGCTTAGCGCACAAGAGCCAGGCTACCGGTGCACTGCTCACCCAACCGTAAGTACAATTCAACAGTCTTTTATTTTCTCTACCCCCCATCACTTAAAAAGCTTTAAGGTTGAAGACACCCTCCAAATTACTGGGTAATGATTTTCATCTACATCTCATTGAAATGAACTAATACCTTCATTTTTTCTTCGGGGAGGGGGGGGGGACAGAAGAGGATTAGAAGGAATGGGATTCACTTTGAATGCTCATGTTAAATGTACTGCTCTTCGGAGAAAACTGACTTGGCTGTATGAATAAGATTAAAGCTTAAAAAAGCTACTTTCTGAGTAGGACTACTTTTTTTTCACTCAATCTTCATGTTTGAAGTTACATGTTCAGAGCTCTTTGACACATTCAGAAGGTGATGCAGTGAACACACTGTTATTCTCAAATGAAATAATGATGCCGTCAATATTTTCAAAGGAATCCCTAGGGACGTAAGATGGACTAAAGTCGGGCTCACACAGTCGAAGTGGTTGCCTGGTAATATGCAGACTTGTTATAACAATATTAATTTGAGAAACATTTCTGTAAAACCGATTCAAAACTATGGATTTGCACCGTTGAAGTGACTGACTGATAATATGTAATAATAAAATTATATTAAGAAACCTTTCTGTACTACCAATATCACTAGGTTTTACAATAACCTTTTGATGACAAAAACGAAGAGGTTGCCTGATAATATGCAGACATGTTATAACAATATTAATTTGAGAAACATTTCTGTAAAACCAATTCAAAACTATGGATTTGCACCGTTGAAGTGACTGACTGGTAATATGTAATATACTACCGATATCACTAGGTTTTACAATAAAATTTTACTGACAAAAACATATGCATGAACATATGTTGCTCATAATCTCCTTGAACTTCTGAAAACCACATGCCGACTTCTGCAGAAGTACTCATGCTTTGTTTAAAGGTGAAAACGCAGCGTGTTCACAGGCTTTCTGGTATGACCAGTTTCTGTCAGTTTTGTGAAATGACATAATGGCATCTTCAACAGTTCATTCACGTTATCTCATTTTGGCTAGAAATCTTCTCCACAAGTCTATCACAAGTCCCAAGTCAAGTCATAAGCCCTTCATATAAACTGTGACGAAGGCATTCCTTTGTTTATCTGCAACTGTTGTACTTGTGAAAGGACTTGAGATTTACAGTCATTTACTTTTGACTGGACCTGTGACGGACTTTTGACGGACTGGACGATAACACTTGCTATCAGGGATATCTCGCCCAAAGTCAAGGTTCTTCCTTAACCCTTCAAAATCCTCCAAAACATCCTGGTGGATACCGAAAGAGCTGGGAAGATGCATGTATACAAGGGTAGAATGCCATGGTCCAGTGGTTGCGGTGTTTGACTTGTGTATGAAGGTGCGTGGGTTCAAAACCTGCCAAGAACATAGCGTTTCTGCCCTTGGGAAAGACACTTTTATTGCCTCTCTCCACCCAGGAGTACAAATGGGTACCTGTGAGGATAGACGACTGAATGTGCACTAATATCAGCTGCCACGTGGTCTCGTGGCCTGATGAACGGGGGAAATAATTGTAAAGCGCTTCAAGATTGTTGATATGATCAGGCATGCAACTGGGAAGTCACACAAAAAAAGAGGAAATTCAAATTTTTCCAAGACTTTGTACAGTGTTTTTCTATTTTTCAATGGCAAACCAGGGAAGTCAAACAAGAGGAAATCAGCTGATCCAAGGAAAAGTTGCATGCCTGTATGATGGAAAATGCTATGTAAGCATTACAGTCTATTATATTTTTAATGGGCATAAGTGAGCCAGCAATTACAGGTGACAATGTACCAGATTGCTTCCAAACCGGAAACCAGTAAACCACTTTAAAAAAAAAAAAACCAACATTTTAAAGGAGTACTTACTAGAAACTGTGACTGTTGCCGGACAACTGCAAATTCTGCCCACCTCGTTGGACACGCAACACTGGTACTCTCCGCTGTCACGCTTTGGAAGCACGCTCGGTAGAAACAAGGAGCCGTTGGCCAAGACATGCCGGTCCTCGCTGGGGCTGATGGGCTGGCCGTTGTACAGCCACTGGACGGTCAGTGGCGGCAGGCCCGTTACGCTGCAGCCGAGGGTCAGCAGCTGGTTGCGCAGCACGACCGTGCCGCTGGGCTCCTGAGTGAAACTTAAATCTTCAATAGCATATATTCCTGAGGAAAGGTTGAAGACAAAAAAAGGGAAGTGGAAAAAGGTCAAGCAAATTTCTTTTCTTTCTCATTTTTATGAAACAACCCAACGCCCATAGCCCAAGATAAAAACAAATCAAACCACATAGAGAGCGCAAACCTCCGCCTAGGCCAAACAATTCCCCGTCATATTGTCAGTACAGCCAAAAGAAATACTCGCATAAATGGTGAAGAATCCTTTAAAAAAGCCTGGATCCAGACCCAGATCCGGATCACACCCAAAATCTAATCAATTTGTACTTGTACCAAGGACCATCCCTAAAAAGAATTTCATGCAAATCCGTCCATAACTGTTTCAGTTATCCTGTTAGCCCTGCTATGCCCAGTGAAGTTGGCAAAGAGAATTATCAGACCTTTCAAAACATTTTAAATTTGCCTGACTAAAAAGGTTTTGAAAGGTGAAATAGTGCTGGAACTTTGGGACTTTTCAAAAGGTTTCCAAAGGTGAAGCAACTCTGTGGGCAAATTCAGTAAGTTGCATTTCAATACCTTTCAAAAGGAATTGAAAGGTGTGGTAGTGCAGTAACAATAAATTCTGGAGGATTTTAAAAGATCCAGCATTTTTTTTCCTCCAATTTGCCAGCACCCAGATTTTGAGGTGTTTTGAATGGTCTAACTACAGGAAAAAGATAGCACTTGTACTACCTTTTTATCATTATTTTTATTCCCTGAAAAATCCATCCATTGTTACCATAGAGCGCTCAGGCGGTTTTAGGCAGTACAAGGAATACTAGGTAGGGCGGTTTGGGGCGGTATAGAGATGGCTTAATATCATTAGATTGACTTGGCTCGCACTAAGATTGGCATGGCTTCTATGCGCCCAATTTGAATGTGTGCAACATTATCGAGTGCTCTAACTTGGCTTGCGCACTGACCCATGCTAGCACTTTGCAATTCCAATAACACAGGCGTGGATGGGAGTAAACACGAAACACAGCCATCCACCATGCGTGTAATCTTATTTCTTTCTTTCTTATGTTCACTTCCTCCTTTTCTCTATTCTTTCGTCTCTCTTGTGTCTTATTAATGCAGCCCACTAATATCCCTTCCATTCACTGTGTAAACACAAAAGAGATAAAGCACGTTACATAATACTAAGCCTTTGCGCTCCTAATGTCTGTCAGCAAATAAATAAATCAATTTCTATCTTTAGGGCCATCCGCCTCCCTGGAGTAATTAGATAACTGGTAACGACTCAAAACAATTGTGGTACATACTTCAAATCACTATTTCATGAGAGATTCGAAGTGTGATTTGAACATAACTTTATTAAAAAAAGGAAAAAAAATTAAATGAAAAAAAAAAATTTTAAAAAAATTTGTTTATGCCCAATTCCCCATTATTTCCCCCTCTCTAATGTCTGTTTTCCATTACAGATAATTCTAACTTCTGCTTCAACCATTTAACATTGTGAACGCAAAATAGGAACGGATGTCAATTGAAAATGTAGAATGCACCATTTCCCTTTGACAATTGTTGTACATCGTTTAATTTCTAATGCTTCGTGTCTTTTTAGCATATTAAGGCTGAAAGAAAGTTGCATAATAATGGCAATGCCCTTAAACTTATAATTATGTTTTGTGTCTATTTAAAACAAGGCACAAAAAAATGGTGTGTTTACAGTAACGCCTTACAAATTATCCAAGTAGGTACGTAGGAAAATAATTTTACTTAGTAACTTTTCAAAAAATTGTCGGTACCTTTTTATGAGGTACCTTTAGTGGTAGTCTTTTTAATTAACCTGTTTTGCATGTAAGGCATTTTTATTTTCCAAAATACATTTTATTTTACATTTTTGGACAAATGTGGCAATAAAAAGTTTTGAGGTCGGCAATTTGTGCAATAAAAATCCAAGTACATGTAGGTCGGTTACTAAAAACACACAACTGGGTATTTGTTGCCTAAGCATATAGGGTTTTACTGTAAAAGACAATTCAATACAAAGCTAACAGCGATTCCTCACTTGGATATTCAATTAAATTAATTACTGTTGGATTAGCACGGTGATGAGCTTTTGAGCTTTTGGGCTTTGTTCCCACTGCAGAAGGGAATACCTACGATATCTTCATAGTAACGCTGGTCACTCAGAAAGATTTTTATGGAATCAATTTGAAATTATACGAATTTAGGCCAAGCAAGGCAAGCTTGAAAACAAAACATTCCGTAAATCCATCGCGGAAAAAAAACCACATAATTTTGTATACTGGATAGTTTAATCCCATCATTTCACCACATTTCACATGTTTTTCAGCCATGAAACAAATGTGTGGTTTTTTTTTTTTTGTAGGAAAAGTTTGTTTTTAGAAACTGACTGTCCCTGCTTTCAGTGAGAATGGCCCCTTTAAAGTTTTGGAACATAAACATAAGATCCAAATGTTTTTTTTTTAATTCATTTATTCCAAAACAAACTGAACTGCCATTAGAAAAGGTTAAAATTGTGTCCATTGTATACACTCAAACTTGTTTTTTTTTTATTAACTAAATTTTGTACAACTGCATAAAAACAAACACAATATGTAGAAAGTATTAGAACTACCAGTTCATCTGAACTACTACGTATGGATTTTTCTTTCTGAATTAAATTTTGGCCTCTTTGTCTGTTGCATCTAGCCCATATAAAGCTGGTATGTCATTTCCTGGTGTCCAAGTGGCGGCCATTTAAAAAAACAGACGGCGGCCATCTTGAAAAATAGCCCTTTGGCCGTTTTGGAAAATGGGTCAGGCGGCCATTTTTGAAACAAAAAAAAAAAGGGCATCCTCCTTCCTTTTTTTTCAAAAAGGCTGAACGCCAAACATGTTTGCTTTTTTATTTGGCCCAAGGCCAAGTAAAAAAAAAACGAAACAGTTGATCATCCGGGATTTTTCAAAAAGAGGAGGATGAGGGCCTTTTTACTTTTTATCCAAGATGGCCGCCAAGTATTTACATTGAAAATGGCCGCCAATTTGGTTCAAAATGACCACCAGCTTTTAAGTAGCTATCCTAATAGTTGGTAGAGTCAAAATAACATGTTCTAGTTCTATGTATTTTATTAAAGTGAAACACAAGAAAAAGTTAGCTTTTTGAGTTGAGAAAAAACATTAAAATGAAAGAAAAGGATGCGGCTGGGCGGGGACGATCAACTTTTTTTTTTAACTTGGCCTTAACCAAAAAAAACAACGAAAAGTACGTGTAAAAACACTTTGCTCATTTAACTTTTACCCTGCTATGCCCAGTGCAGTTGGCAGAGAATTATCAGACCTTTCAAAACATTTTAAATTTGCCTGACTAAAAGGGTTTTGAAAGGTGAAATAGTGCTGGAACTTCGAAACTTTTCGAAAGGTTTCGGAAGGTGAAGCAACTCTGTGGGCAAATTCAGTAAGTTGCCTTTCAATACCTTTCAAAAGGAATTGAAAGGTGTGGTAGTGCAGTAACAATAAATTCTGGAGGATTTTAAAAGGTCCTGCATTTTTTGTCCTCCAATTTGCCAGAACCCAGATTTTGAGGTGTTTTGAATGGTCAAACCACAGGAGAGTTAATACAGTTGTAATATCATCTACCCTTGTAACTGTTCATGCAGCACTCTTGAGTTGTTTGTTACTGCACTTTTATTCGTACGTACATGTGTGTCCCTGAACTTCTCATACCAGTGTATTTTTTAATGACCCTGTTGTTCATTTTAACTTGTACAAAGGAAGTATCAATATGTACATTTTGTAACCTGCTTTTATAATGGATTTTTAGTTATGCACCATACAGGAGTCCAGATGGCCATGAGGATACTTTTAAATATCTAAATTTCCATAATAAACAATTGAGTGGCAGGATTTTTAAAGGCAAATATCTTTTGTTTTGAAATTTATTCTTTAACCCTAACCTTCCCAAATCCTCTTTGCAAAATGGAGGATTTTGCGGGATTGAGGCTATATGGCAAAAGTGTGTGGCTGATGTTGGAGGAAGCACTGTGTCAAGGTCTTGGGCCGCACCTTGTGTTGTTTATGCTCAGCTGTGCATAACTTTAGGCCATTATACTTGAAATCCTTTGCACTGGTCCAGGATGTCACTGGCTCTGCCTCAACATATTGACAGTGATTGCCGGAGGATTTTGCAGCATTGTGGCTGTATGCTATTTTTACGTGGAGGCAAAAATTGGAGGATTTTGCAGGATTGCAGTTGCATCCTAGCAAAAATGCCTAGGGAGTTAGGTTTAAAGAAACTACATTATCTAAATCTAAACAAGAATCACCACTACCAGAAAATCTGGTTCATAAAAAGGCTACTTCTAAAAGTAAAAACAATTTAACCGGAGTATTTTTATTAGCAGTTTATTTTTTTTTGTCACAAGTATTAAACCCTACAATTGTGAAGTGTGGTTTTGCAGTATCGGTCCACACATTTAGTGTGAAATGATTAAAAGACGCAAGTCATGCAGCCTAATTTATTCACGCAAAAATGTGATGATAAACTTGACATTTCAAGCATGTCACTCAGTCATTGTCAGGAATTCCTTATGAAATGTTGGAAAATGTTAGGGATTCAGTTGAAGAAAAAATTACTCTTCCATCATGAAGGTATATCCCAACAATATTACCTGATGTAATGCATTGATTTTCAATATTACATCAGCATGAATGCACCATCAACATAATCACATCATTAGCCATAGGCAGCTAGCCTTGGCGGTTCATGATTTATTTAGCCTTCACGCCGCGAAACCATGTCAGTAGGCCAACAAAACGCTTGGCCTAATTGTGTTGTCACACACACCCACACATCATACAGACTAAGCTCTAAAATCAGCAGGGTAACTACTTTCCCTTCTTAGATAAAACAGGAGAACTGCCGAGTCCTAACTCCGTGTGTGCGGCGCGGTTTGACTCAACGAGCAGCAGGCCGCACTGCAATGGCCGTCATTCTGTGCATATCCCAATGCGAAGGCCGCGCTACAGCTAATCATCAATGGCAAGGCCATACACTGTGTACACACAACACACACACACACGTTGAGTACATGGGGAAAAACACTGACCCTCCACTCTGTTCCCCACAACAAAACCCCGGTCTATCGGTATATTCCAACGCTCACCTTTCAATATCAGTACGCTGACGAATGCAACAATCGAGGGCAGGCTCTTGCTAGCGATTTTGGACGCCATGTAGCCGTAATATCATGACCCGAAATGTGAATTTTCCATGTCCTTCGCTCGGTGGTGGACGTTAGGATTTTTGCTGGGATCGACTGGTCACGACCTGGCCATGGGCATGAATACAAGTGTCTCATTGCCAGTGCTGTGGTCACCAATGACCTCTGTGCTCCGCTGCATCCACATAGTCCGCGTACGCGATTTGACAAGACGAACTATTTGACTCGGGCTGACCGCTATTTCGGCGTGAAGCTATTGGATCGTGCGGTCGCACTCCCCCTATAATTTCCCCAGATACGGATGGCTGTTGGTGGTTCACCTGTGTACAACCGCACGCAGTCAGCAGTTAAATTATTCGGGGAATTTGCGCACGTACGATCACGTACTAGTATTATTTTTGATGAATTTTCAAAGGTGAATGACTTGATCAACTCATGAGTACTATTATGGAGGTAGGATGTAGAACGTAATGTACACGTGAACCGGTACTTCACACACGCATATCGCACGCAGCAGATCGAGAGGCATTTATATAAATAAAAAAAAAAATTATATGCGGTCCCCGACTGAGGTCATAAATTCGCTTTCCGAAGTGCATTGACGATAAATTCAAAATGAACACGAAGCAAGTAATATCAAATTGAACATTTCGATCACGGAGCTGTGAAAAAAAGAGCAATTGATCGCTCCATGTTTGAATCGAATTGTGGACTTATCAGTGGCGGGGTGAAAGGGGTTTACCCCCCCACCCCCGCCCCCTTCCAATTCCAGGGCCGCAAATTAAACTTGGATCGTAACAGGGAAAAAATGCCTACTAAATCCCCCTCTTGAGGCAAACCTGGATCCGCCCTGGCTCATGTGGCTTTTATTTTAAACACACTGATCTCTAAGATCACTATCTTTTTCTTTCTCTATTTCGATAAGGCATGTGCAAAAGTGGAAATGATATTATCATACCGATGGATTAAGCACGACTTGGTATACTCCAGCTGATGATCTTGAAGACTAAGAAAAGTTAAAGTCACGGTAAACATTCATTTATAACTACCGCACTCGTTTTTTTTCTCATGTACCTCCTACAACAAAGGACTCCTGAGCCTTTCAAATTATTGCAAACTTGAAAATTAATTGTGAATTGAAAGGTGTCCTCTCGAAACCCAGTACGGATTAAAATCCATCTTATTAAATTGATGTTTTCTATGAGGTTTCTTCTTCACATTATCCTTTATTTAAAGAGCTCAACAAAGTCACAGGTTCTTATTCCCCATCTGCTTCTGCTGGGTATAGTACTGCAACAATACCGCGTTATTGGTATATCATTTTAAAGCTTGGAATGTTAACTTTATCCCTGGTAAGTATTGGTTTGATTTTAAGAAGGGTTTTGAAATTATTCGTGTTCAAATAGAGGCATGTCAAAAACAAACTTAACCGATTTAAGGAAATCAATCATGCACATTTTTATTAATGTGGAAATGCTTCATGTTCATGATGTGACGATCTCGTTGCCTTTTAGTTTTTGTGTTTCCTTTTCTTTTTGATCCAAGTAGACTACACCTTCAATAAATTCCTAAAATTGTTCTTCGTTTCAATTTCAATGTGTTTTTAATATAAATCAACTTTGTTGTCAACAGCTTGTTGACTCGAGTTTGCATCTGATGTAACCATAATCGGTTTCCCTTGAAATCGGTTGAGTTTGTTTTCGACATGCCTTTATTTGAACACAAATAATTTTAAAACTCATTTAAATTTCCAACCAATAAACTTCGGATTCCAAGCTTTAAAAAGGTATAACAAATAATGGCGGTACGTGTTTCTGCACCGTCGCTAGATCCTCGCAAAAGTTGCGGGTATTTTTGGGACGCGCTGTAGTCCTATGTCTTCGTATCAGGCTTCAGTTAGTTGTTTACAGTTGTCCGTTATAACAACGAAGACGTTGATATAAAGCTGAAGGATTTTCTTTTATTTGTTTCGACCTTTCGGGAAATTTTGCGTAAGATAAGGCCCATTACCATTTATTACGCTGCCCTGACCCATCCTAACCCTACTGGATTTCCACTTAGACTACGGTGAAGCTATTTTCATAGCAATTCTAAAGTTACTTTTGAATGAGACATGAAACGAAAGGAAAAAATCAGCTGTCGTGAATTTGTTGTGGAATAAGTACTTTACAAAATTTTGCGGAGCTTGTGTGCGTCGGATGCTTACAGGCAACCCAAACTAATAAAAGCCTTTTTATCCCCAAAAGATTGCAGACTCTCATAAGTATTTTTTTTTCTCCTAGCAAACAAAATATTCGCATTGAAACTTCTTTGGGAGAAAATTCATTATCCGTTTTGAGCCAATTTTATCCGATTTTAAGTGATTTCAAACCAACCGTGGCATAATGTGTATAAACGTGTGTTATTCTAAGTTTCAAACCGTGTTCCCCCCCCCCACTTAATCGTACGTCGTCTTGACGTCATTTATTTTAAGCCTGGTTTTCAAACATGACTTTACTGGTGTGAAGCAATTAGCGCCCTCATACGGTTGGTTTTGATTCTGAAGAGATTTAGGCGCTAACCTAAGTTACTTATGGTTTCAGCTAAAACAAAGGTCCATGTTAAGCTCCACGAGCATACATTTTTCAAATACGAAGCCAAGATGATTGGAGTAATTCGGATCAATTATGACACCAAGGTTTTCAGAAATGATTCCGAATCCGGCTTAGCCAGGATAAATAGGCGATCCTTAAACAATGCCGAAGTTTAGAAAACTCCTTTCCGGTCGACGAAGTTCAACAACTGAGGGCGCTAGTGCTTCTGTGCGGTCAGAACGAAAATGAAACAGTCGTCTGATACATCAAGCACATGTAGCTGATGCAAGAGTGTAAAATCGCCGTTTAACTTCCAGCTGTCATTTTGTTCCAAAATTCTGTCAATTTTGGTAAATTTATTCAACATGAAACTGCTGACTGACAAAGGAAATCAGCACAGTCTTAAGGCTGTCATTGCTGCATCAGTCACTGGCATCAAACTGGACTTGAAAGAAGTTGGATACACGGGTAATGATGAGTTATGATTCACTGAAGTAAACTGTACTGAGCCTAGGCCCTATCAAAAGTCAACAACTCGGTCCCCATGGGAAAAATAAAGATAGTGGATATGTCACCCCACTTGTGTGGCCTCGGTATTGCTGCGCTGTACGTTAGGCCACACGTCTGGTTTCCCAACCTGCTGGGGAGTTTAGTCCGAAACTGGTGCATATGGACTCCAGAAAGATGTATAACTCTCTCGAAAAATTTGAAGAAAGATTACCTAGTAGTAATCTAACTCGAGGGCAAACGATGAGAAATCAAAGAATACAACCATATACAGTGGTATGTAAAAAAGTGCTTAAAAAGGGTGCGCCAGAGTTTGGACTAAACTCCTCAGTACTGAGGATCAGTATAGATTAGATGTTTACAAATTGTGACTAATGTTAACAAGGATCCTTCAATATTTATGCATTGGCTGAAATTTTAATGAAAGAACTATATTAATCATTTGCAGCCTAAAAAACTTAAAAATATTGTAAACTCGATGAGAAATCATGTATTTAAAAACGGATTTCTTTTGAAATTGTACAGATCAAGTTGTGCCTTACTTGAGGAAGAATCGTTTGCCTGTTCTTGATTGCGGCAACGGAGACTATATATTCTCAGCGAATAGCATATGCAGGTGGGTTTGTATCTAAGTCCTTGGATTTACCGTAATTTTCGGAATATAAGCCGCGCGGCGTATAAGCTGCAGCACGCAAAAATCTGCAAATTAAGATTTGAAGTTGGCGTATAAGCCGCATCGGCGTATAAGCCGCATCGGCGTATAAGCCGCATCGGCGTATAAGCCGCATCGGCGTATAAGCCGCATCGGCGTATAAGCCGCATCGGCGTATAAGCCGCACCAACCACAGCGGTTAAATTTTGTAAGGCCTCCAAATTCTAGTCAAAATGCTCTGAACCAGTTCCATTTACATTACGAAAGCTATAAAAGGGCCACAAAAGTTATGTCAAATCATTTACAGTCAATTACTCTTAACAAATATGGAAATTGATGATGAGAAATAAAAAACGGGAATTGCTGCCGGCTGGCTCGTCAGTGAGCCTGTGCCGGGGAATAACATTATTTTTCCCCAGCACTTGAGAGAGTATGCAACCCACCATGTGTTGTCTGACTGGAGCGCTACAAATCCTGCTTTGTGGCAACAGACGCTGAGTTGTTTTGTCCTAAAGGATAAACAAGTCTGTTTTTACAGCAAAACTTATCAAATTGTTGTGATTACTAACGAGTAGTAACGTCAAAGTTCAAGTTTGGATCGTAACTTTCTTCGAAAACAGTCAACACGATGCTGAGATTTTTGTGGACGAATCCATTAATTTCGTAAGGGGTGATTTCACCCCTGTTTTGAGTTTTACATCATTTCTTGAATACATTTCAAGAAAAAAAATTATATTGTGACGTTGAACAACTGATTATCAAATAAAGATATGTTTCAAACTCCATAAAAAGTATTAGTTGTCTTTTTTCTTTTTTTAAACGAGGGAAATATTGGTAATTATTGTTCCCAAGAAAGTACACCCCTTTTATTACCACAAATGGTGTGGTCCATGGGGAATCCATGCAGCATGCATGCAGCATCACGTACGGCCGGTTGGTTGTCGATGTCCAAGGGACAGCTTTCACTAGCTAGCCGTACTTTTTACCGCTCGGTACCTTTTTGTGGGACGTGCTTTCGGTTTGTTAATGGCGTTCTTAATTGATAATTATTTCAGCAACACATCTCTTCTTGTACCAGTACATTAAATACACATGTAAATGTCATTTTTATTCTTCACGGCTCGGCGTATAAGCCGCCCTGTGTATAAGCCGCAGTAAACATTTTCATGGGCAAATTCAACGTATAAGCCGCGGCTTATATTCCGAAAATTACGGTAGCTGTGGTACAATGAATGTGACTTTGGATGGAATTTCTCTCGGCTGGATTGCAGCAGGAGTGTAGTCACTGAAATGCCACCCAATTTAGTTCATTGTGAAGTTTATTGTTACTACAAAATCATGTCGGTGAAGGGCGTCACCCATTTTGAAAGGAAAAAGGAAACACATTTATTTGCTATGATTTGTTTGTGTATAATTATGAAGTCTATTGTGTGTTCATCAGCATAACGTTCCACATAATTGTCCAATTGTTTAAACAGCCTTATAATTGAGTATTTTTTAGCCCATAGACTTTTTTGGTCTTGACATGTGTAAAATAAACCTGTGAATTAATGATATAATAGCCTTGGTCAATGCTCTCGTCGTTATTCGTCCCGTACGCGGTCAATCGTCGGCATATATCCTCACGCGCTATGCACATGCTTGTAAAAATACAGCGCGAACAGCGACCTCACTTCGGCCACTGTTTTTATGCAAATCAGTTGGAGACGATGTCGAGCCTTGGTTCAATCGTCGGCCAAAGCTTATGTTTTTCTTTACTTTGCGCTAGATTTCCAGCGCATGACCTCGTATGCGAATACAGATAATGTAGGCGGGGCTAATATGTGGAGTGTCCAATCACACCTTGGTAAATCATCAAATTATTTGCAGCTATTCCGGCTTTTGCGGACGTGACAGACTTTTGCGGACGGACGTTTTTGTGCATTGGTGCCGTGTGCAGAGACACACAATGTGTACGTGTATGGATTATGTACGGTGCCACGTTTCACTATGCAAGTTTCCACGCAACGATCGACCAATAAGAAAACGACATTTAAGGTCAGCTAAGGCTATTAACATAATGAGCACCACCCCCAAAACCTCACATGGACGATTGAACCAAGGCTCGACATCGTCTCCAACTGATTTGCATAAAAATAGTGGCCGCGTGAAGTCGCTATTCGCGCTGTATTTTTACATGCATGTGCATAGCGCGTGAGGATATATGCCGACGATTGACCGCGTACGGGACGAATAACGACGAGAGCATTGACCAAGGCTAATGATATAATGAAAACTCTGTTTTGTTGTTTTTAAGGACCTGTTATTTTTTGTTCACGTTTTAGATATCTACTTGCACAAGGCGGCTTGGATGTTGACGATACACAGGTGGATGAGTGGCTGGAGTGGGAGGCTACTCAACTACAGGTATACAAGTCTGATGTGGTCCTTCATAATTATGAGTGACTGGAATCGAAGGCTACACAACTAATATGTCTTCTGGGCTCTTACAAGTTTGATTCCTACCGAGTCTTTCTCAAATGTGACCTGTTCTGTCAAAATCAGACTTTTCTGGGCATAAGGTCAAAAAATGATATTTTTACATACTGTTAACATATGTTCTTTTTCCTTTTAATAGGTGGTTTGATTTTTGAAACCAGTCATTCCTGGGCAGAGTTATGCTATTTTGAAGTTCATTGTGTCGAAAAGTAGAAAATGGAGAAAATGGCCACGAATGTCACAAAACAGTTATTTCTTTAACTGATATACCTTATCAAAATCGTCAAAAATAGTATATGTAGAGTTCAAATTAGGGTTTCAAAGTTTTATATTATATTTTAGACATGTTCAGGATTACAAATATGCAAAAATTTGAAAATCGATAAAAATCACCCCCACAGCGTTTTTTGGCCCTATCTCAATTTCAACCTCTGCCCAGAAGCGTCTGCTTTTGACAGAACAGGTCACAAATGCCCTTCAGAAATACAAACTTTGCTTTGCCCATTTTCTTGACTTGTTCAGTTTTGAAATGGGCATGCCATCACCAATTTATAAAAAAACAAAAAGTGAGTGCCTTCTTTTGAAAATGAACAGGGAACCTCCTTGCCTAGTTTGAAAAAAAATAGGGCAAGTCGCAAAATGGGCACAACCAACCTTAGGGGCTTCAACTTGTTACCCCCCAAAAATCTGTAATTTTAAAGTTGAACAAAGAAATTGACGAGCGGGGTTTGAGCCTGCAACCTCCGGATTGCTGCTGTACCAACTGAGCGATGCAGCCCTTTGTTGGCGGTTCCCCATTTTGTCAAAGTCTGTTCAAGGTTCGATAGTCAGTAGCCATAAACCCATGGTATTTCGTAGCTTTGAAGCATTGCTAATGTTGCTAGCATCGTGACTTTGTCACTTGGGCGTGATCCCTGGTTATATACGGGTTCATGGCTTGTGACTAGCGCCCCATGAACAAAGAAATTGACAAAATGGGGAACCACCATCATAGGGCTGGATTGCTTAGTTGGTAGAGCACTGGAACGGCAATCCGGAGGTTGCAGGTTCAAGCCCCGCTTCAGTGAATTGCTTTGTACAACTTAAAAATATTATAATGCACCTACTAAGATCCCTTTGTGGTAAATTTGAAAAAAAAAATCTATGTTCACAGTGGAAAAGTTTTTGCAAAGATTGAGAGTTCAGACTCTCCAAACCTTTTGACGCTATTATTTTAATTTTTTTCAGCCTGTGCTAGGAGTTTTTCTGGCGTCATTATATGGTAGCGGCAAAGCCAACGTCGACAGCTTGAAAAGTCTGCTGACTCACCTGAACAGCTTACTGCAGGGAAAGCAGTTTCTTGTCGGGGTAAGACCAGATGAATTTTTTTCCATGACCCTTAAGGCCCGTCAAAATCCTCAATCCGCTGAGAAAGTGTGACGTCACCACCTCCTCAGGCCAGCTGACTTCCTTCACAATGGTTCACAGTGGTTCACATGCTTTCCATAACGACAAATTTCACGTATGCTAAACATACATGACCACAGACAGCAACTTCACATCCTACTTTTATAGAACATTTTCACAAATAAGAACCTGAAAACGGTTCACTGCCTTTCAGCAGATTGTCACCACACCGGTTACAACCAAAGTTGTGCTTATTTTCACTTCAAAGAGGAGAATCAAGCCAATTATGAAATGGATTCACGGCAGCCCTAGCGTAAACCACGGTGTTCACAGAGCCGTTGCAGTGCGCGTGAGCCAGTGATCATGGTTGCACCGAGTTGCCCTGTGAGTTACGGCGATTCCAGGGAATGGAGAGACGAGCTGGTGGTAGGAACAGGGACAACAGCCTGGAAAAAGACATACCGGGGACAGAGAGAGTGGCCTGCTTTTGGAGAGGCCCAGACTGGGACCTGGAGTGCTCTGAAACACGCAAATCTAAAATCAGGCCAACTTTCTCCATCAAGCAAATTTCTCCAAAAATTCAATTGGGCAAAGAAAAGGTTCTCAGTATTTCATCAACCAAGTTTGCAGACTCAATTCAATTTTTCAAGGAGACTTTTACGTCAATATTTCGCACATGAGAGGGAAGTCAAGTGATTTCAAAATGAGGCTAAAGACTAGACTGGTACATGTGCAACCATGGTCCAACCATTTGAACAGACTGACCTCTTCATTCATTGTCATTAGTCTGGTGGCTGACTATGGAGACATGAGTAGAAATAGAGACTAGTTCCTGGTTCATGCCACATGTTTGTCTTCGCACAGTTGATTGATGCAGTAGGGCTACCGAAGCGGTGTTGGACTGGTTGTTTCAGGTGCCAGTCTATTGTCTTGTATTGTATGTTTTCAATACCTTAAGTTTTGGGACTCTCATACACAGTATTGAGAGTCCCAAATTGTTGGACTAGGAGAGGCCTTTACCATGCAGTGCGACGATATAGGCTGATGATGATGATGATGTTGATGATGTCGCCACAAATTATGCCACCTAAAATGATTGCACAAGTTACGCCATACTTTCTTGTGCAAGTCCTATCATGAAATGTGTCATAACCGGAAGTATTGCACGCGTGAAATGTTGTGCCACTTATGTAACAAATTGTGGTGCAGGTGAAGTTAAGCCATTGCGTAAACTTTTTTGAAATTGGCTGCCGTTCTCTTGTTTTTGCTGCAGAAAGGTATATCAGCCGCAGATATCAGCGTATGGGCAGCCCTATACCCAGCCCAGGCCTCGCGGTCGGACCTGCTCCCCCAGTATCCCAACGTGGAGTCCTGGTTCATGGGCCTCAGCGGGCAGAGCGCGTTTGAGGCCGGCGTGTCTGCTGTAACCAACGGCAAAGGAGCGGGGAGTTTCAAGGCGTCCATCCTGGCTCAGCCCCTTGTTCCGATGCCCGTCGCCGATGCCAGGACCGCCAAGGATGAGGAAAGCTCAGTCAGTGAGGTAAACGGAATATTTGATTTAATTTTTATCAAGGGCGCTTTGACAGAGATTTTAAGAGCATAGTGAATGAACCTGAATTTGTTTTGTTTTTCAAATCTTGTACATCCATTATCTAGTAATGGTCAAGGAGATTACAGACTAGGAGTTTGGATCATTTCTCTGAATCATTAATTAGATATCACGGTGAATTGGCTCCGTCACGGACATAACACTTCCTTTCGTAATGCTGGAATTACCCTCTATTAGAATTTTTGTTCCGAGGGTGTGTGTTGATTCATCTTTCAGAGTGTATACCTCTGGTTCTTTTCAGAACCATTCTCTTAGTTGAGAATTTATTCGCACATGGTGTTTCCGCAAACCTTTCATTATTTAGTATCTCCACCATGCAAAGCCTCAAATCTTACTCACCTTTCAAAACCAAAACTTGACCCAGATTTCATGGGAAAGAAGTGGGGTTGTCTTATTAGGGGCAGGATTTTTTTTTTTCAGATTTTTTTCTGATTTGGGGATTTTAGAAAAGCCTAAAAGAGAAGTTTTCATCACCATATTTTTGTCCTTGAGGGTCAGAGGTTAATATGAAACAATTGAAATGGGCAGTACTTTTAATTTTTGCCTTTTAGACAAATACATGAATGTACTGTTGATATACCCAGTGTCATGCTAGGGCTCCGGAAAATATTTTTGTTCTCCCCATGTTACCCCTGCTTGCACATGTAGACAAATCCAGCAATCATACTGAAACATTTGAAGGTGCCTGACTATTCCTGTATAGAAAACAACATTTCCTCACCAGGAAAAGTTCACAGTTCTCATTCAAATGGAACAAAAATCATCATGGATTTGCAGAAGACAAAAAGTATTTGTGGCTTCAGTTTATGTATACGCCCTGAGTTTGCGTTATCGCTACTTCGCAGCTTTTTCTATCGGCAGGATGTCAGCAGTGAAGAGATGGAGGGCGCCAGACAGGCTTGGCTGTACGGCAAGGCTACGACACCGACTCCGAGAGCGAGAAATCACCCGCTGTAAGTGCATAAATTGATAACCCTCAAAACATTCCACAAAAATTGATAAATTAACATTTAATCAGAAATAATGTTATTACCCCAGCTTTGTCTAATTTGACCTGTGGCATACTGTTGAACATTGTAGAAGTCACATTAATCATTTTTGTTCCAAAAATTATGAAATATGTTAAAATACAGAAGACTATATGACACCTTTCAAGGTCCTGACATTTTATTTTCTGGCCAGGGACTTGGTTTGATAGGCTACGTACAATTCTCTTGCCTAGAGAGCTACATGTGTTTTCTAGGTCTTTGTCAGTTACAAGTACGTGAGAACATGCTGAAAATAGACTTTCACTTAGCCGTACTGCCATAGCACCGGAAGCTGATATGGCTATACAGGATGGATAAAAAATATGAAACGGAGATATTATTGCTAATTGGAACAGAAGTAGGGCACATGTGAATCAAAGGGAGATATCCTCTGTTAGGGTTGAATCTCCTCTTTAAAATGACACCCTGATCATATCATTTAATTCACGGTTGACTGAGCAGTGACCAATTTTATGAAAGGGTCTATTTAGAGAATTGCGCCACTTTTCATAGTGAAATCTCTTTTTTTCCCCACCTGCCTTGATTGGCAACCATAGCCTTTCACTCTGTGACAAATGACACCACAAAAACCACAATTGAAAAGTGGCGCAATTCTCTAAATAGACCCCTTCATAAAATTGGTCACTGCTCAGTCAACCGTGAATGTAATGACATGATCAGGGTGTCATTTTAAAGAGGAGATTCGACCCTAACAGAGGATATCTCCGTTTGATTCACATGTGCCCTACTTCTGTTCCAATTAGCAATAATATCTCGGTTTCGGTTTTTTTGATCCACCCTGTATATTTCTTAAAAGCTTGTAAAGTGTACAAGGTATTTTGATGGGAAGTGTATTCATTACCCCTCTTTGGTGCCTTTCCCTGTACCCTTCCTCCTCCCTATCCCTTCCCCTATCCCTCTCCCCCTCCCCTCTCCCCCCTGCCATCCATTCCCCCTTCCCCCTTCCCCCCTGCCATCCATTCCCCCTTCCCCCTTCCCCCCTGCCATCCATTCCCCCCTTGCCCCCTTCCCCCCTGCCATCCATTCCCCCCTTGCCCCCTTCCCCCCTGCCATCCATTCCCCCTTCCCCCTTCCCCCCTGCCATCCATTCCCCCCTTGCCCCCTTCCCCCATCCCATCCCCGTCCCACACCCTTTTCATGATCTGCTTTTTCTTCCCCTCTGGAGTCTGGTCTGCCATAACCAAACCATAAGTCTTACCCTTTGTAAACCACCATCATTTTTCCCTCCATTTCACAGTCTACCAGAGGAAGGTCAGCGTAACGTCTTAATCACCAGTGCTTTGCCTTACGTCAACAACGTACCTCATCTGGGTAACATCATCGGATGTGTGCTGAGTGCCGATGTATTCTCAAGGTGTGTGTATTTTATATGTCTGACTGAAATTATATTGCAAGGATATTTCTATTTTTTTTTTTTAAATAGTTGGATTCTAGATGCTCTGTGGTGCGATCTGAGGCAATTTCTGACCACTTTAACCAATGTTTTTTTGAGGAAAAGATGGTGGTGTACTCATTGCCTGCCTTTATTGCGATGTCACATAAAAAAAAATAAAAAAATTGGTTTCGTTTTTGGGGGGGCCATGGCCCCTTTGGCCCCCCCCCCCGGATCCGCCCTTGGTCAATGAGAGGGCCCTCTATAGTCCATTATTATGTCGCGGCCATCTTGATGTTTTCCCATTCAAATCAACGTAACCTGGAAGGAAAAATAGTCTGGTTCCTTTTTAATGTATTGTTACGTATTCAATATTGTTATTTGAATACAAGGAACATGACTGAAATGGTGGCAGCATGATAAAGGTCTATTGTATGGCAATATGAATCACAAGTAATTTAATACTGTCATTGTCTTGCCTTTTAGAAACCAGGTCAAGAAACCAGAATTTTTGATTACAATGTCATCGAATGATCTTTGTATTAAATAAAAATATGAAATTATCCATAAAAATATGAAATTATTTAAATCGAAAAATAGCAGAAACATTTCACAGCAAGTTTTACCCATTGGTTATTTTCACATTCAATCAAATTTACTTTGTTTGAATTTTCCGTCAGATTTTGTCGGTTGAGAAACTACAATTCTCTGTACATCTGCGGAACCGACGAGTACGGGACGGCCACAGAAACCAAGGCCTTGGCGGAGGGGCTCACACCCAAGCAGATCTGTGACAAGTATTACAAGATTCACCACGACATCTACAAGTGGTTCAGTATCGACTTTGACCATTTCGGCAGGACCACCACCCAACAGCAAACCGAGTACGTCAAAACATGGACGGTTGAGAATGGAACACTAGGGGTGTGCATTTACGGGTAGTAGGGAAACAGGGTACCCGTTAAACAAACCCAACCCCTAAATTCAAATCTTTGGAATTTGCCGTTCAGATTGTTCACAAGGGTCTGCCCGATAATGCTACCACAAGAGACAAGTGTGTACAGCAGTGTTGTAGTTCTTGAGACCGGTCTTGGTCTCGAAACCACTTTTTGCTGGTCTCGGTCTCAGGAGCTGTGGTCTCGGTCGTGGTCTCAGTCTCGGTCCCCCGTTGGTCTTGATATTTTGGCTGGTCTCGATTCGAGACAATTGGAGTAAAGTGTCCTGCCCAAGAACACAAATGCCATGATCCCTATATTGTATTTTTTTTTAACCAGGATTGCCCAAGACATTTTTCTTCGTCTGCACGAGCGAGACTTTCTCCTGAGGGACACAGTGGAACAGCTTCTGTGCGTCAAGTGTAATCGTTTCCTGGCCGATCGCTTCGTTGAGGGGACCTGCCCGCTTTGCAACTATCCCGACGCCAGAGGTGATCAGTGCGACAAATGCAGCAAACTCATCAACGCCACAGAATTAAAGGTAATCACTCAAAAACCATTAAACTGTCAAACGTTTTAATAACTTGAAGGGTACTGGAGGTCGCAGGTTTAAATAACTAAGCTCCCTTGATTAAATCATCAGAACTGATCACAACAGTGCCCACAGAAAATTAACATGTAAAAAAAAAAAAGATCAGTGACTCAAAAAGGTAGATATTGTGATTTCAAGTCAAACATAAAAAAGGCTGCCAGTTTGTTTCAACTATCAGCGGCATGGATATCTGTCACAATAATGTTGAAATGTGATGCTCATTCTTCCGTCGTTGTTATGCTAATCCTAATGGATTCATTATGGAAAATCTAACACGGCATTAGAGCGTTTTGCAGGATTGAGGAAGGAAGACCAGAAGGCACCGTTAAGAGGAAACTTCAAAGTTGAATTGCAAAGAATTAAAGTTTAAATTCAAAGAACGTGCCGCCGGTTTCCTGCATAGTGATTGATTTTAAACGTCAAGTTTAAGTCAAGTCTCCAATATAACTGCCGTTTCTTGCACTAAATTTGATTTGTCAAATCATGTTTTAACCAGAATCCCCGCTGCAAGATCTGCAACGACTCCCCGATCATCAAGACCTCGGAGCACCTCTTCCTGGACCTGCCCAAACTGCAGTCCCGGCTGCAGGTGTACTACGACAGGGTCTCCGCAGCGGGCGACTGGACGGCCAACGCCAAGCACGTCACATCGTCGTGGCTGCGGGACGGCCTCAAGCCGCGCTGCATCACGCGGGATCTCAAGTGGGGGACTCCGGTGCCGCTGGACGGCTTCCGGGAGAAGGTGTTCTATGTTTGGTTCGACGCTCCTATCGGGTATCCGTCTATCACGGCTAATTACACGGATCAGTGGGAGAAATGGTGGAAGAACCCAGAACAGGTGAATGACAGAGTGCATCTGGCCAAATACTACTCTGCTGTTACTAAGGGAATAAATGTGTGCTCCAGAGGTTTTTATCACTCTGTTTAAGACCACTTAGAGTCTGGGTGCTGATAATTACCCGAGCCGGAGGCGAGGGTAATTATCAGCACCCAGACTCTAAGTGGTCTTAAACAGAGTGATAAATACCGACGGAGCACATATTTATTCCCATTCATAAATACCTTTTCGGTAAAAAAAAATCATATAATTCGTTCAAAACATCCCGATTTTGTTCAACAAATGCACTTTATGCTTTTTGAAACATCCCTCTTGCAAAATAATGGAGTGTTCAGCTGGCGAGTATGATGTAAACAACCCTTTTATGGAGATTGACGCGCGCGTATCATGTTCCGCGCGATGTCGCGCAGAACGCACCTGGCGCGTTACGTTTTGAATTTAGAACTATAAAATTCTGACTCCCTGGTAGTGTTGCGCATGCCTACGTGAGGATTTTGAACGTTCAACCAATGAAACGATAAGAGGCACTGGATTTTTAGGAGTCCACATTTTATTGTGACACTGGAAAAGTGTTTAAGACCAGCTAGCCATGTCTTTATCATCCGTTTAAGACCGGCCACGTGACGGGCTCTCGACCAATAGGAATGCGTAAACTGTCTTAGGTATTTATGAATATTTATTGGTCATCAAGTCAGACAACAATAAACCTAGAAGACAGTACACTAAGATTATACTTTAAACAACATGAACGGTGATTACGAAAACTCACCGTTGCCCGAGGCCATTCAGTTCCCAAGAAATATTAAAAATGAAACAGTTAACAGAATTTTAAAAAGCAATCAATGCAAACACAACTAACCTTGTAAAATATCAATAATTTCAAAAGAAACATGTATGCAAAGGGATAATAGAATTTAATTTCCATTAAAAAACTATGAACCTGTACCCTCTAACATGCTTCAAATGGGCGTGGTATTTTTAAAATGATACCAGTCGACAAACAGTGCTATTGTGGCTGAATTAGGAAGGTTAAAGTCCGAGTTACAAATTTTCTTATAAGTCTGCTCTTTGTAAGTCTGTTTGTGAGTCTACCAGTGTAAGTTGGCTAATATATCTTTTTAAACATTGGAGTGTCATGGCCTAGCGGTTAAGAGCACCGGACTCATGCTCTGGTGTTTCAGAGGCAACAGTGGCGTGGGTTCAAGCCCGGGCCCGGACACTTGTGCAATTAAGCAAATTAAGCCGGAGGTCCTGTGTGTTGGATAAGGCCTGACGCACGTAAAAGAACCCAGTAACACTTATCGCTAAGAGAAGGGGTTTGCCCCGGTGTTTCTGGCCTCCTAGTTATACTCCCTTGTGGAAGTCCGTAGGATGAGAACCAACCAAGTACCAAGAACCAAGTCACCCGTATTATATTTCTGTAGTCTATATCATACTAAACTAGAAAGCACTCAGAGAGCACAAACCTCCGCCAAGGCTGAACAATTCCCCGCCATATTGTCAGTACGCCCAATAGAAAAACTTGCATATCGCTGGACTTGCATATTTTATTGCACATCCCCCACTTCCCCATAGTATCAAATGGTTGAGTCCATTGACCTGTTGGTTTCAATGTTGTGTGCGCTCTGCGCTCATAGACTGCACGCTGCGTTGCCCACACACGTCTCGACACATAGCATATTCGCACGTACGAAAAGTTGAAAGAATCCTTAAAAAGATCCTGCATCCAGACCCAGATCCGGATCACTTCCAAAATCGAATGGATTTGTACTTGTACCGAGGACCACCCCTAAAAAAAATCTTTTGAGTTATCCTGCTTTTTGAGTTATCCTGTTAACAGACAAACCAACATACAAACAAACCAATAAACAAACCAACACCTATGAAAACTTCTTGGCGGAGGTAATAAGTATGCTTATAGACAATGTCACTTAGGACATCATGCCTATCGGTCCCTGACAGGCAACCCATAGGTCTTCTTTAAGTCTTCCTGTAAGCCTGCTTCGTATATGGCTACAGTCTGGAGAAATGATAACGTGCTTCGTCTTTTTTTGTTCTTCTTTTAGGTGGAGCTGTATAACTTCATGGCCAAAGACAACATACCATTCCACAGCGTCATTTTCCCCTGCTCACTGATAGGAGCTGATGACAACTACACTATTGTCAATCACCTCATAGCAACAGGTTTGTAAGAAAATGACCAAACTACTAAGCATAGAATATTGCTTAGCAAAAGATATATTTGCTGAGCCAAAAAATAAGCGGAGAAGATGTTACAAGCTGTTAACTCCGTGCACAAGTACCCCCTCAACGGTTACAACAAGAGAGGGACGTTTGACGGCATTGTGCGCTCATGCGAAGACGCGACCGTTTAATGTACCTTCCCAAATCCTCCAAAATCCTCTTTGCAAAATGGAGGATTTTGCGGGATTGAGGCTACATGGCAAAAGTGTGTTGCTGATTTCGGAGGATGCACTTGTGTCAAGGTCTTGGGACAGACCTTGTGTTGTTTATGCTCAGCTGTGCATAAATTTAGGCCTAGATTATACATACTAGAAAACCTCCACACTGCTCCAGGATGTCAGGAAGTAAGGAAATAAGCTTTTTGATAATAATTTGCTAGGTTACTTTTGGGATCAATGCAGATGATGCTATATGCCTTTAAACGGACTTCAGCAAATAGTTCAAAAACCTCAATTTTCCAGAATACCTGAACTACGAAGACGGCAAATTCTCCAAGAGTCGCGGCATCGGAGTGTTTGGCGACATGGCCAAGGATACGGGTATCCCCAGCGATATATGGCGGTTCTACTTGCTGTACGTCCGCCCCGAGACCATGGATAGTACATTCAGCTGGGCCGACCTGATGCTGAAGAACAACAGCGAACTGTTGAATAACCTGGGCAACTTCATCAATAGGTAAACTTAATAAAAAAAAATTACAAACACAAAAAAAGACATAAACGTTGTGTCCGTGCAACAATGTCGTATCTCCTAAAATGGCGTGTGACGTCATGTACGTGAAACGCGAGTTTTCAATGTCAAAAGGTCGTATTTTGCTTAAAATAACCTGGATGTACATACAAAGTCAATGGACGTCGCGATTTGCAAAATATGACCATGTTGCACGGAGCACATTCGTGCGAGTTACGACTTTGTTGCAGAATCGAGTTTTGACCTTGTTGCACTGACGCGACAACAACAAAACCAACAAACCCCTAAAAAACAAATAAATAAACAAACAACCCAACACCCCAACAAACCAAAAAGATGAATCATAATGAGCAAAAACAAGTCAGTTGCCTTGGGTGTTTTGGCATTTTATTCAGAAATCAGTGGTAAATAATGTACAGTTCCAACTATTGTGAATTCTAGTATTAACTTAAAAGCCTGTTTATATGGAAATGTGTGTGTGAATAGTCGGATGGCTTTTAAAAAAAGACTTTGCATATGAAAATTACGAATGCATTGAGATTGCTATCAGTTGATGATGTACTCTTTACAAGTGCATTACCCTCCAAAAGTGAAATTGATAACTTTACAGCCAGTTGATGGTTGACAGTAACATTTTCTAATAATATTTGGGGTGGTAAGAAGCTTTGGAGGTCCAATTTGGGGATTTTAGGAATTTTGTAGAAGGTTCTTAGAAGTATAATAAAATATTTTCAAAAGAGTAAACATTTTAAAAATTATTTTCTTCAAAAGGTGTCTGGCGTTCCTGGAGAAGAACTTCGGCGGTGTCGTTCCCGAGATGGCTCTGGAAGCAGACGACGAGCGGCTTCTAGCGCTGGTCACCCGAGAGCTGAGATCTTACAAGCAGCTTCTGGAGAAATCCAAGATCCGGGATGCCTTGCGACATATTCTCAACATCTCCCGCCTTGGCAACCAGCACATACAGGCCAATCAGCCCTGGGTGCTGGTCAAGGGCGGAGACAAGGAGCGGTGAGTGGGGGGGTTTGCGAATTTCACAAAGTAATCTGACAAATAATTCTGATTATTTGATTGAATGAAATTGATTAAGAATTAGACTATTGAAATTGACTGAGCCTTCGTGCACCTTGTCCCCAAAACACCACTGGGTTGGTTCGAATCTCACTCGAGGAGAATTGTTCATTCAGTCTTTGCATTTCTTTTGTGGATTTGCATCTGGACTAGTAAGTAGGCTGTTTTGGGTTCGAGTCCCGCCTAAAACAAAAAATCTCCACATGCATACTATATACTCTGCAAATGTTTCTACATTGCCTTAAGCACTAGTGAGCGCAAGATAATGGGTTCGAATCCCACTATTTCACCAGTTGCTTTATAACTACTTTATGCACGCAGCGACCTAAGCACATGAAAGCAGGACGTCTTGGGTTCAAGTCCCTCCTATGCAACCCTTTTAATAATATTATAATAATAATAATAGTGATTACCCTGGATTGGACATTTGGGAGACATCCCCATAGACTTGTGCACAAAATTGTTCAAACTTAAATATGCCCTAACCCAATATTCCCTTGTCCTTTTTCCACGAATTTCGGTATGTTTACTAAATAGACCACGAGCAACAAATATAACCTAATTGCGACAATAAAATTGTGCCTCTAAAGGGGGGGCCGTGACATTAGGGAGACATGAAAATGTCTCCCTAATGACTGATGTCTCCCACCATGCGAAGAAATTACGATACCGTGTCTCCTTAATGGTACCATTACACGTGTAATATTAATAATGAAAATTTATAAAGTGCCCTTATCCGCCGCAAGCGGCGCACATGGCGCTGCACTGCATAACAACCAGAAAACAATAAGAATAAAGAAGCACCTGGTTGACTCGACCCTTCACCCGTCAAGCTGCAACGTCACGCTCCATCAATATAAACAAAAACGTATAGACTCTTTAACTCATTGACCCGAGCACAAGAAGGTCTAGGGTTCAACTCCTATTAGTCCAAGCTTGTTTACTCAGTCTTCATATTAAAACATTTGTTGAAACAGCATTTGAACCTCGGACCTACAGAATGCCAAAGACTTTGAGAAAATTTGCATATTCAAATCCAGCCTCAGCCAAGTTTCTTGATTGTTTACTGTGTCTCTCAATTAAGGGCAAGGGCGGGCACCGTGACCGGTCTCTGTACAAACATCTCCTGCCTGGTATCCACCATGCTGATACCTTACATGCCGGTTACCAGCCGCACCATTCAGGAACAGCTCAACGCGCCGGCGGAATGCAACGTCATCACCGAGAACTTTGTGTGCTACTTAGTGCCGGGTCACAAGATTGGCACGGTGAGTTTGAAAGAACCTTTTTTTCTGTACGTAAACAAACCTCTCGTATTATATCCTTACCACTCAACCACCCAGCTTGCAGGATTGAATCTGTAGGCCTTATTCAAGAGTCGGCCATATTGAATTTAAAAGCGAGGTAAAATCAAGTTAATTACATATTAATACCAGTGTGCTCTGATGAATAATTTAAAATTTGTGATTGAACATACCTTAATGTTTTAAGCCACAGTAATAAAGAATTGAAAGTGAGGCCAGAATGCATAAATAGTCTGGCACCATCCCATTCAACAGTTTACAATTTATAAAATACAGTCAGGGAACGTGACCAAAATGGTTCCTTCGTGAATAAGGTCCATAGCAGTGGGTACCTCAACCAAGCTAAAATACATTCGTGAAGGGCAAACCCAAAAATTGAATTTACATCTCACTGATGTAAATTTCACCCTACCAATATTGTGATTAGAACCAGCCAGCCGATCCTGGCAAACGTTGCCGTAAAGCCGTAAGACGTCTGCACTAGGAAACAGGAGGTTGTGGGTTCAAGTCCCAACTGGATTTTTTTCTCGTGAGCCCTTGGACAACACCGAGTGTACAGTGTTTTTAAAAATAGGTCGGTGAAGGGAAAAACCCAATATTGAGTTTACATCACGCCGACGCAAACTCCATCCTGTAAAGAGAATTCATACTTATTTTGAGATCCAGGAATGTATCATGACACCAATCAGGGGTAACGAAATACAAGTTCATTGATCTGATGTTTGAATGCTGCTGATAGTTTAGGAATTATTTTTGTCTTTCCTCAGCCCAAGCCTTTGTTTGACAAGCTCGACCCGGCCCTCATCGACAATCTCAAGAAGAAATTCTCAGGCCAAAAGAAACAGGTACAAACCTCCATTTCATGAAATTTTTTTATTTAAAAAAAATGTACCCTTTCAACAAAGGAAATTCCTTTTTACATATCTCGCAAGTGTTGTCAAATCGACAAGTATGTTTGCAGTGAAATGTCATATGTTTTTTTCATCGCTAACGATGGACAACAGATTCTCCTCTTGGAAACTATCAGACAAAAGGCGGCGCTCTTCGTTGTGGCATTATTGCTGATAGACGTACATTTTTGTCACGGTTTTGCCAATTTGCTAGTCTATGGAATATCCCCTTGCACTGAAAGGGTCTATGATATGCGAGCAGATTCGATGATTAATTATGCAAAACAAGACTACGTCTTGACCTCGAGATTCTGACCATTCAGAGGGCGCCTTTTATAGCAGGTCTTCGGTAACCCGTTCAAGTTGAAAGCCAATATCGGGTCTTATTAGATCTCTATGCCCGTTGTATTACAAAAAATGGCCTCCAAATTGACCAATAAACAGCTTAGTCCACATTTGGGAATGAAATGCATCATGTCGACTTCGATTGGCTGGTATGCGGGTCGCATAAATTTGCATGCTTAGATATATCAGACGTTGGACTGGAGACAGAGAGGGCTCCGTTTGACAATGGGTGATAATCAGGCTACCAATTTGCCAGGCGCGCCTGTTATTTTGCAAAAACCCTGCACAGGCATGAGTTATGCCAACTCAGTGATGGCATGTAATTCTGTTATTCATGTGTGATGTTCCTTTTGTCTCTGATATAGGACAATGGTTCCGGTGACGTGAGCGCGACCCCAGTCAGTTCAGCACCTGTTGTTGATGGTCCAGCCACACCTGCCGCTGATGCTAACGAGGTCCAAAGATTGACTGATGAAGTCACAAAACAGGTCAGTTGATCCGGTTAAAGTTATTCAATTTATTTCTGTTAAAAAAAAATGATCTTGGAAACAGATTTTTTGGGGGGCAAAAACTTAGTAAGTTGCAGTGTAGTGATACGTGTGTGAACACTTCAAGACAACTTTTAAATACCGTGTAGAAAGAAAACACTGCATACGCATACTAATTGCCATGTATTTGTATACAGGCTAGTAAAAAAAAAAACAGTCAGATCACATTCATGTAAACACTGTCAAATTCCATCAACAGACAAAAGAGGTATTTGGTAGGTACAGCTGGCATATCAATCACCTCCAGTCAAAGCATGGCTGTATCAAACTAACAAGGGGACTCTTAACTGTTAAAAACAGTCGCTTGATTGATTTTGACTGCTGTGATGGTGTAGCGAGCATATCATGTTTGCTGCATGAATATCTATTCCATAGACTATTGATGACATGTACAGCTGAATCATATAAATGGAACCAAGCCAATATTTCATTTTGTTTTTCCAGGGGAGCGTCGTCCGCAAGCTGAAGTCGGAGAAAGCCGAGAAATCAGAGATTGACAAGGAGGTGAAGAAACTGCTGGCACTCAAGCAGGAATTAGCAACTGCCTCTGGTCAGAATCCCGCCACGCCCGACTCCTCCTCCTCCAAAGGCAAGAAGAAGAAAGGAGGCAAGAAATGAGGAACAATTTTAAAAATTGCTATGAGCATTGCTCCTTTCGATCATTTGATACCAGTGGCCCAATTTTTGGACCGAAGCTGATAGCCTGTGTACCTTATCAGGACAAATTGAAATGGATCTGTGTTGATCAAAAAAGAGACTTTTGCAGACAAACTAACAAAGTAAATTAATTCAAGAACTTTGTGATTGATTGGGTTAAAACAGGGTCTCAGTTTGTCCCTTTACTTTATATGCTGTTATTAATACCTCAAATTATGACATTTCTGTGGACAAAACTACTCTCTCGTATTTTGATTTGGAAAATATAAACTAATAATTTCATCTTTAAAAAAGTGTAGAAAAGTACTCAAAAGTGGCTACGAGTTTCCCAACCCGCACCTTAAATATTCACAAATTCATCATTTCATTTAAAAAAAATAAAAATAGTTTCACTTTTAAAGAGCACAAGTAGTAATGTCACAGTTACATTAATTTTCTGATAATATTATGTTTAAAGAGGTAAATTGTGTACACCTATTTCTTTTTCATTTACATGTACATGTATTGCAATCTTCTAAGTGCACATTTTTATGAAACCTACATTATGAATATTTAGAATCAGTGAAAAAAATATTGAAAACAGTTGTTTATAAACGCATACAAATGTTACTATAAATTGTTATCAATTAAAAATTTTATGCAAATTTCTCCTGCATTGTTCAGAGTTGTACAAGTTTCTGAATGAAATGAAATAAATGAAATGTCTGAAGATCCAGGATTTTGATTCAAACGAAAATTAACTTGATGTTAGACTCCAACCTTTTTTAAAGGCAATTTACAATCAGACGTTTAAAGTATTCGTTGTTAATTTGTGAGCAGATTGTAAAAGAAAGTAAAAATCTTAATTTCTTTTTTTTTCGTGAAAATTGATATTTTGGATTAATTTTCTACCATATTTTCGTCGAATAATTCCTTCTAAAGAACCCCTCTATCCAAAAATCGGGTAGGAATGGACTCTCGGGACCCTTAGGCAACTTCCTTTCAAGTTTGGAAAAATTTAATTTTTCATCCAAAATTGAGTAAAACTGCGAGGGGTTAGCCTTACATTTTCATTAGAATTTGACCAAAAAATGATTTTTTTCTGAAAACATGTGAGAAATGCTATTGGATGCAAGACTAGCACATAGGCGTAGCCAGCGGGGAGGGGGGGGGGGAGGTAAGGGGAGTATTTCCCCCCCCCCCAAATATTTTGTAAAGACTGCCTTTTTCCATTCAAACACCCTTTTTTTTAATAGGGTTTAACACCCCCCTTAACTTTTAAAGAGTGCCCTTTTTTAAGAAGTGCCTTTTTGTCTAAACAACTTCCCTTTTTGTGGCATCTGCCGGCCATTTGGGGTGCCTTTTTCTGAATTGCGCATCGCCCTGAAAAGCACCATATGTTGGCAGTTTCAGTGCATAATCGTTGTTTTGAACAGCGCCCCCACCGACAGATGATCCCCCCCCGCGTTTTGATTTCACAGAGGCCAAGTGTCCGGAGAAACAAACCGTCTACATTCCCGTACTACAATTCGCCTCTTCGTGAAAACGCAAAACGGCACTTTTGGGGAATTCGCCCATTCGTTAATTAGGTCAATTAAGATTAAAATCTTAATTAGGTCAATTAAGATTTTAATTAATTTTTTTAAAGTATAACCTCACCAGGTTGTAGATATATTCATATATTTATTCATATTCACCAACCCCCCCCAAAAAAAAAATTCGAAAAAATAGACGATTCTCATGAAATTCGTGAAAACAGTGACGTAATGTTGACTTCTGTTTCGTCCATGGAGCTAGCTAATGCACATAGCAATGTTCAATGTTTCTCTGCCTATTCATACCAATCGTTTTTGAGCAGTATTCTAAGGAAGCCGAATGGCCGAGTGGTTAGATTCCTCGTCTACGAATCGCGGAGCCCGGGTTCGAATCCCGTCGATGTCTTTTTGCTTTTCAACGAACGCAGTCAGTCATTATATGATGTTTAATTTCCCGTCGTAAAACACCAACAGTACCTTAGCTTAATCGGTAAGCACTGCTGCTGGTACTGTCCGCGAGTTCCAGGTTGGCGCCTTCGTACAGGTTCAGGGCATGTGGTCCACTCGGAGGATCAGGGCTTAGGGGCCGCCCTGTTCCTCCCTTAGCTCTTTGCTTTTACATGGTGCCTGGCCCTCCGGGGTTATATGGATGGATAGGGAAGGAAGTGTGTATTGGTCGGGGACGCCGAGACCCCGGAAGAGAACTAAGGGATCGGCTGGGGCATCGTTATGGCTCAGACCGATCCCTGAAAGCTTGGCTAGCACATAACTTTTTGATTTTTTTTTTAAGCCTCTGTTTTTAAGCTTTGGTTTAGTTTGATATTTACATCTGCTCGGCAGGTCTCCGGTAGTATTAAAAACAAAACAAAGATCTATGTCATAAATCAATGAATATTTAATAATTGACTATAATCAAAATTAAGTTTCGTTCAATCATTATCGTCAACGTTTTCACGACGGGGATAATTTTGAATTTTTTTGTGTGTGTGTGAAAATGAATAAATATATCAATTTCTACAACCTGGTGAGGCTATACTTTCAATAAATCAATTAAAATCTTTATTAAGGCAAAACAAAAAAAGTCGGTCTCTGGTCAGACCGAAGTTCCGGAACTGATGAGGCGACGAGTTTTTTTGTGTGGCTTTTTTTTCAAGCTTGAATTGTACAGACAAGGTGGGTACTATTTTGCTTTTTTTGTGTTCTCATTATACATTGGTGTCCTCCATAATTTGCCTTGATGGCCTTCATCATTTGCCCTGGTGCAATTTCCCCATTCCTTGGTGCTCCTTGGTACAAAAATTTGAGGAGGTGCGGCAATAGAGGGTGCTGTTGTAGCTTCCGTGTTAATTGGAAGAAAAAAAGTTGACGTGCATGATTAAAATCGACGCACGCGCTGACCAGAGACCGAGTTTTTTTTTTTTTGGCCTTAGCCTTACATTTTTATTAAAATTTGACCCCAAAATGACTTTTCTGAAAACAAGTGAGAAACGATGTTAGATGCAAGACAAGCATAACTGAATACTCAGACACCCATCATTTTGAAGGAATGGGCAAAATATTGAAATATTTTTAATGAAAATTGAAATTTTTGATTGATTTTCTACCACATTTTCGACGAATAATTCCTTTTAAAGAACTCCTCTATCCAAAATCAAGTGGGAATGGACTCTAGAAACCACAACGCAACTTCCCTTCAAATTTTGAAGAAAAAAAAATATCATATTTCACCAAAAATTGAATAAAAATGCAAGGGGTTAGCCTTACATTTTCATTAAAATTTCAACCAAAAAATGACTTTTCTGAAAACAAGTGAGAAATGCTATTAGATGCAAGACTAGCATAATGGAATACTCGGACACCCATAATTTTGAGGAAATGCGCAAAAATATTGAAATATTCTTAACGAGATTGATATTTTGGATTGATTTTCCACCATATTTTCGACGAATAATTCCTTCTAAAGAACTCCTTTATCCAAAAATGGACCCTTATGGACCCTTTAGACAACTTCCCTTCAAGTTTGGAAAAAAAAAAATCATATTTCACCCAAAATTGAATAAAAATGCAAGGGGTTAGCCTTACATTTTCATCTAAATTTGAATCAAAAATGACTTTTCTGGAAACATGTGAGAAATGCTGTTGGATGCAAGACTAGCATATTAGAATACTCAGTCACCCATAATTTTGAGGTAATGGGCAAAAATATTGAAATATTTTTAATGAAAATTGATATTTTCTATTGATTTTCCAGCATATTTTTGAGGAATAATTCCTTCTAAAGAACTCCTTTATCCGAAAATCAGGTGGGAATGGACTCTATGGACCCTTAGGCAACTTCCCTTCAAATTTGGAAAAAAATCATATTTCACCTAAAATTGAATAAAAATGCAAGGGGTTAGTCTTATATTTTCATATAAATTTGACCAAAAAATTACTTTTCAGAAAACAAGTGAGAAATGCTGTTGGATGCAAGACTAGCATAATGGAATACTCAGACACCCATAATTTTGAGGTTATGCACAGAAATATTAAAATATTCTTAATGAAAATTGATATTTTCGATTGATTTTCCACCATATTTTCGACGAATAATTCCTTCTAAAGAACTCCTCTATCCAAAAATCGAGTGGGAATGGACTCTTTGGACCCTTAGGCAACTTCCCTTCAAATTTGGAAAATTAATTTTTTGTATCCAAAATTGAATAAAAATGCAAGGGGTAAGCCTTACATTTTCATGAAAATTTGATCCCAAAATGACTTTTCTGAAAACAAGTGAGACATGCTGTTGGATGCAAGACTAGCATAATAGAATACTCAGACACCCATAATTTTGAGGTAATGGGCAAAAATATTGAATTATTTTTAATGAAAATTGATATTTTCTATTGATTTTCCACCCTATTTTCGAGAGATAATTCATTCAAAACGACTCCTCTATCCAAAAATCGTGTGGGAATGGACTCTATGGACCCTTAGGCATCTTCCCTTCAAAGTTGGCAGCATTTCGTTTTTCACCTAAAATTGAATAAAAATGCAAGGGGTTACATTTTAATAAAAAATTGACCAAAAAAATGACTTTTCTGAAAACGAGTGAGAAATGCTATTAGATGCAAGACTAGCATAATGGAATACCCAGACACCCATAATTTTGAGGTAATGGGCAAAAATATTGAAATATTGTTAATGAAAATTGATAGTTTTTATTGATTTCCACCATATTTTCGACGAATAATTCCTTCTAAAGAACTCCTTTATCCGAAAATCAGGTGGGAATGGACTCTATGGACCCTTAGGCAACTTCCCTTCAAATTTGGAAAAAAAAATCATATTTCACCTAAAATTGAATAAAAATGCAAGGGGTTAGTCTTATATTTTCATTAAAATTTGACCCAAAAATGACTTTTCAGAAAACAAGTGAGAAATGCTGTTGGATGCAAGACAAGCATAATTTAATAGTCAGACACCCATAATTTTGAAGGAATGGGCAAAATATTGAAATATTCTTCATTGAAATTGATATTTTCGATTGATTTTTCACCACATTTTCCACGGACAATTCCTTCTAAAGAACTCCTCCATCCAAAAATCGAGTGGGAATGGACTCTATGGACCCTTAGGCAACTTCCCTTTAAATTTGGAAACATTTCATTTTTCACCCAAAATTGAATAAAAATGCAAGGGGTTAGCCTTACATTTTCATTAAAATTTGACCCAAAAATGACTTTTCTGAAAACAACTGAGAAATGCTATTGGATGCAAGACTAGCATTTATAATGGAATACTCGGACACCCATAATTTTGAGGTTATGCGCAAAAATATTAAAATATTCTTCATTGAAATTGATATTTTCGATTGATTTTCCACCATATTTTCGACGAATAATTTCTTCTAAAGAACTCCTCTATCCAAAAATCGAGTGGAAATATTCGCTATGGACCCTTAGGCAACTTCCCTTCAAATTTGGAAAAATTTAATTTGTTATCCAAAATTGAATAAAAATGCAAGGGGTTAGCCTTACATTTTCATTAAAATTTGATTTCAAAATGACTTTTCTGAAAACAAGTGAGAAATGCTGATGGATGCAACGCTAGCATATTAGAATACTCAGACACCCATAATTTTGAGGTAATGGGCAAAAATATTGAAATATTTTTAATGAAAATTGATATTTTGTATTGATTTTCCAGCATATTTTCGACGAATAATTCCTTCTAAAGAACTCCTT